AAATAAAGACTGGAATTTAGCATAACCTAAAAAAAAAAAAGGGGGGAAAAAAAAAAAATAGGAAAAAAAAAAGGCATAGAAAGATCCGTGATAAGGTCTCGATATTATTTATTTATTTATTTAACTATTTAATTTATTATTATTATTATTACTATTATTATTTTGTGTATCATTGTTTGCAGCGCAAACATTCTATGCATTTTGAAACTGAGCACTAAATAGACTAGCTTCTGGTAGAATCTTTTGTGGATGGTGTAATTTCACAGTTTAACTGCCTGTTTTCACCGAAAACACTAACATTCTTGTCACGTTCTTGTATTTAGATTTTAAAAGAGGGGGTGGGGGGGGAAAAAGGAAAAAAAAAAGGGAAAAAAAAAAAAAAGAGAGGGAAGACGATTGTAAATATTTTCTTTAATGCACAAAAGAAAAAAAAAATGGTTACAAACTGCAACCACGTGTGGATCCTGAAATGTCTCACTGAATAATCTACCTGTCCATGTATGTTTGCTGAGCTTTCTCCTTGGTTGTGTCTTTACTCTATCTCTTTTAGTTCTATCAGAAATATTTCTGTACGCCAAAATACAACAGGGAGATGCGTCCCAGCATACTTACAAATAAAAAAAGAAATATAATAATAAAAAAAAGAAAACAGAATAGTTATTATTATTATTATTATTGGGTGTATTAAAAAAAAAAAAAAAAGAAAGAAAAAAAATATTCCGAGATATGGCTGATAAATTCAAGGTATGGCCGTTATACGATGAGACTAATTCTACCAAAAAGAAAATAATGAGAGATGTATTTTTCTGCTGAATCCAGAAATCATTACTTTGAGATAGCTCTTATGTGAAAATCGGTGCTCTGAATAAAATGAACTATATATTAGCTGCGTGTGTTTCTTGAAGTTTATTCTATAACTGCAGAATATAAATCAAAGTAAAAAAAATTTAAGAAGGACTTCTGAAGTATTTCTTTTCAGTTAGCTGGAAAGGATTATGCACCTACAAAATATGTATAAAGAAGAAAAGCTTGGGTGGTTTCAGGTTTATATGTTGCTCTGACTGGCCTAATTGCACTTAATTATGTAACCAGATACTTTATTTTTATTTTGGGTTAATAAATATGAAAATCCTAAACTGATCTCTCCTTATCTTGTAAATGCAATTGTTCATTAGGAACGTATAGGATGCCACCTACTGCTTCAAGTGATCAAAGAACCTCTTTCTATTTTCTGATGACCTGTGACTAGATCAGATGCCAAATGTAAAAAGTTACTTAATTGCTGGGATTATTTCTTCTGTAGACATATTTTAGCCAAATCTTTTTAATTTCGCCGGTAAATCTGTGATTCAAGACACGTGGTGTTCGGAAGAGAATAATACGTTCAAAAAGCTGTGATTTTAAACAACTGTTAATGTTAAAAAATAAGCACTAAAGGTATTTTTAAAAAAAACATAGATCTCGTCCACCGGAAATTGACTTGTTTCTGTTGTTATGAACTTGAAATGTCATCAGAATTTTTAATAAATGCATTTGTAAAAATATTATTTTATAGAAAAGTTTTGGAGAGTCAGGAATGAACAAATAAAAAGAATTACAAATGCTGGGTTTTTCCTCTTTCATCTGCCCCAAACGATTGAAATGTTACAAGCGATACCACATTTGTATTATACAGTAATGGCCGATGTATGTATTGAAAAGTGAAGGGGTTTGTTTTGTAATAACTACAATCCTTATCGAGTACAAAGAAAAGAAAAAAAAAATAAAAAAAGATGTTAATAAAACAGATCGTGGAAATAAAAGCTTTGCAGAGTTTCCTATTTTTCATGGTAGGAAACTGTGCAAAACCCGAATGTCCTGCTGTCCGTCGGATGCCTCTGAGCAGTGAGTAAAATCACGAAGTAGTCGTGAGGCCTTTTTAAGAAAGAAAGAAAGAAAGAAAGAAAGAAAGAAAGAAAGAAAGAAAGAAAGAAAGAAAGAAAGAAAGAAAGAAAGAAAGAAAGAAAGAAAGAAAGAAAGAAAGAAACTTCATATTCATGTGTATAATGTCTAACCTAAGTACTGTTAAAACTTTTGCATCCGAGAAAAAAACAAACAACAACAACAAAAAAGTAAGGGAGAAATGACGAAGAGGCAGAACATACATCCTCATTTATTCCCCAATGGTTTGCAACCTCCTGCGCACAGAAATGCAATTTGTGACGGGAAAATGATAGATTCCCTCCTGCCCCACCTTGTGATCGGGGCCGGGGGTGCTGGCGCCTCTGATGGCTCCTGAACTTCAGCCAGTTCAGTATCCGTGACCCTTGCTGGGGACACTTCGGTATCGCCATCCCCTGAATGGCCTTTTTTCCACACCGCAGGTATCTCGCCGCTTTCCTGATGTGATTTTCCACTCCTAAATCCGTAAGACCCGAGCTGGCTCCCGGATTTTCTGCTCAACGCTTGCTCTGCGATTGCTTTCAACTTAGATTAGGCCATCATAAGTGAATAACAGACACCCACTGCCACAATCGTATTGATTTTTACTCTCCTGTGATATTAAGACTATTTCGGTCCTGATTCAACAAGTAAAAAGGCTCCCCAGAAGGAGAATGAAGTGTCCTGCAGCACAGATTTTATGGTTTATGTGCCTCCCTCCCCTCCTCCCTGCGTACCCCCCTTTCCTCCGAAGAGAAATAGATTTGTCGAAAGATAATGATTTTAACTCCAACGGACTGGAGCACATAAAGCTTGATTCCGCTGCTGCTGCTCTGTGTTATTCTGGCATTTCCCAAACGATTTTAAATCCTTCCAGTTATTTATGTGTCGCTTTTCAGCCTCCGCGATTTTTTATTTATTTATTTAAAAGCTTGATTGTATTTACCTGCTGATTCCAAAGCTGAGGAAAAGCCTAATTGATTTTTAAAAATCACCAGCAGAATTTCAATCCGCTTGGGAACCTCTTTCCACCTGCCAGACGAGCGTCTGATTATCGGTAATTACGTTATTTAAGAGTTGATAAAAGAGGGGAGCTCTCTGCTGGTGTCCGGGCCCCTTCCCCGGTCCGGGCTCGGAGGGGACCCAGGCGGGGACACTCGCGGCGGGGCCGCCGCCACCA